AAAAGCTGTAGGAAATCAAACCTTTTCCAAAAGGATGCCAGAAAAAGGGGAACTGCCATATTATGGAAAACATTAACATTATACTCGAGACTGTGAGGAATAAACAGGTGATACTAAGCTAAGGACGATACCCTTTGGATGAGTCTCAGAGCTCAAGATGATAAAAGGGATAGAAAAGAGGTGACCAATCGCCATAAAACATGAATTAGCTGTTCTTAAGGGTCTAAGCTCAACTGAGAATACTCCATCTGCCCCAGTTTAAATAAGGAGTTCACTATTTAAAGTCCACAAGTGAATGGATTCATTGATGGAATGTCTTGGAATACGTTAACTGACACTGGTTTTTATGGCTACTGTTCTTCAATCCGGTCTGGAATGAAAGCTGAGAAATGTCTTCCATGTACTACTAATTAGAAACAACTTTAAATCTGGTGACTGGTGCCTAGTAGAATCAAACACTTCAGCTTGTCCCGAGAGATTATTGATTGGAAAAGTTCTCATGTTCTTGAACAATAAGGATGTTATCATTCACGAACACAACAAATCATGAAATCCGAGCGAATTCTTGATGGAACATTGCAAGATATGAGGCTGTACAAATACTACTTCCACATCAAAAAAATATCAGAAACAGTCTCCTTAGAGATAAGATGTAAGAAGTGTTATGTGAAATCTTCACATAAAGATAGCTTACTAGCTCACTTACAGGAGTTGTATGACTAGAGCTGTGAAGGTCTTATAACTAATCTGTACCATAGATTACATATAATACCTATGGAACTTATGACCTCGGCTGGACAAATAAAATATTTTATAAGATTTAAACTAGAGATGCAGCTCCAATATGCCAGTTATCCAGACGACACCCATTTGCAAAACAAGCTGGGGTTTTCAAGGTGATAGAAGCCACGAAGGAACAAGGACCGAGTACTATTACTTGAACAAGGACCTAGTACTATTAATTGGACAGGGACCTAGTACTATTACTTGAACAAGGACCTAGTACTATTAATTGGACAGGGACCTAGTACTATTACTTGAACAAGGACAGAGTACTATTACTTGGATAACACCTGTTGTACTTGTGAAGGAGAAGGATTGAGGTTCTGCATATAAAATTAATCAAGTCAGAAAAAGGTATGCCTATCAAAGAATAAACTGCTTTATCCAGGTGAGGAATGCCTATCAAAGAATATACTGCTTTATCCAGGTGAGGAATGCCTATCAAATAATAGACTGCTTTATCCAGGTGAGGAATGCCTATCAAGGAATAGACTGTTTTATCCAAGTGAGGAATGCCTATCAAGGAATAGACTGCTTTATCCAGTTGAGGTATGCCTATCAAAGAAGAGACTGCTTTATCCAGGAGAGGAATGCTTATCAAATAATAGACTGCTTTATCCAAGTGAGGAATACCTATCAAAGAATAGACTGCTTTATCCAGTTGAGGTATGCCTATCGAAGAATAGACTGCTTTATCCAGGTGAGGAATGCCTATCAAAGAATAGACTGCTTTATTCGGGTGAAAATTGTTTTCAACATTGGATCTGAGTAGTGGATAATGGCAAGTGTAAGTCGGGAAAAAAAACAGCCTTCAATGCAGAAATTGTTTGTAGCAATTTGTTAAGTTACCATAAAAAACAGTAACATACTGATTTTCTTCTGAGAAATTCTCCAGTTTGGTCTTTTTTTCTGATAAACAATAAATTAATTTATTTTATTTTTATGAGAAATAAAGACTTTTTTTTTAGAAAGACCTAAATTCTGGTCTTTATCTAAGAAACGCTCAAATTCTGATCTTTTTCTGAGAACAAATTCCGGTCTTTTTAGGAGAAACAAGTAAATTGTGGTATTTTTCCGGGAAATAGTTAAATTATGCTATTTCTCGTCGTTTTGTATCATATTATATAATCTATAATTGTTTATTATAGTTCTAAAGTTAACTTGGCGTTTCGATATAAGAATTTTCTATATTTCCTAAACTCTCATTCGTTTTACCTTGTGCCACTAGGGGGCTGGTATACCTTAAGAATTTTCTATATTTCCTAAACTCTCATTCGTTTTACCCCGTGCCACTAGGGGGCTGGTATACCTTAAGAATTTTCTATATTTCCTAAACTCTCATTCGTTTTACCCCGTGCCACTAGGGGGCTGGTATATCTCTAGAAGTTCTGAATTAATCTTCAAATTAAGTAACTTTTGTAAAGCGTTTGAAAATTGACACGATTCCTCATACGTCACGGAAGTTTCAACAGTAAAAGAAATTGTTTACGTGGGCGAACTTCATCATAAAATAACCAAAACTAATGTGTGTTACTCAAAAAATAGATAAAGTGTAAATGATAAAGATATTAAGTAATGTGCATTACCCTTAACATGAAATTAGTGAACGTGTAAAAAATATTTTAACTTTCTTAATGTCAGTACCATACGAGTGTTCTATAAAGTAATATTTATAATCAAATACAAGATTGAGCGCGTTATATTAAAAATTATTTTGAATAAACACATCGGCAAGTCACGTGACAACCAAAGCCGATATAAAGTTGCGGTGGAACGGTTTGTATCAGAACTACATTTAGACATTGTTTGGCGTTTCGTAAGTAGTAGGATGCCCCTGAAAAGTGATCGCTTTCGCATAAAGTATTTAACAGACGCAAAATATTCATACACTCAGTTCATAAAGAAGAGTTAAATCGGGGATTTAGAATTTCTTATACGTGGCCCGGCATGGCTAGGTGGTTAGGGTGCTTGACTCGCAATCTGAGGGTCATGGGTTCGAATCTCCGTCCCCCAAACATGCTTGCCCTTTCAGCCGTGGGGGCGTTATAAAGTGACGGTCAATCTCACTATTCGTTGGTAAAAGAATAGCCCAAGAGTTGGCGGTGGGTGGTGATGACCAGCTGTCTTCCCTCTCGTCTTTCATTGCTAAATTAGGAACGGCTAGCGCAGGTAGCTCTCGTGTAGCTTTGCGCGAAATGAAAAAACAAACAAACAAACAAACAATCCCTTATACTTAATGCCATTGGGAGGCAAAGAAATATGGATCAACGTGGGACACAAGGACCATCCAGAAAGAGAAGAAGTCGTACCTCAGTCGTATTATAAAAGTCTTCTAACTGATGGGAATACACATGCCCCAGCCAACAGTACGCATCACAATAAAGAAAAATATCTAAAAAAGCAATACAAGTCACGTGTACACAAGTTGCTTCTAAAACATACCATTTCAATGGTTGCATACGGGTATTCATGCTATGAAGACTATGGTGAAGTCGCCTATGCATTTCTGTGCAACCGGACTGTTGAAACGAGCGCTGGGAGACCACCAGACGGTTTGTGGAAAGGGAAATGGTGTGTGTCAAGAGTGTCTGCTTTACGACGGGTTTTTTTACAATGGAAGTTACATTGTAAGACTATTGTCATCATAGAACGTGTCGACATGGACTGTAACAATATGGTTGAAATTCGTTTTAATACCACGTACTCAACCTCTGTACAAATTAAATCACGTAAAGATTTGTAACATCGGAGTCGTAACAACTGGAAAGACCGCAATGTGAATAAGTTACGATGCTACCTTAACCGTCTTCAGTACTTTTGTTTTATTATAAAATTTAGGATTCTACGACATTCAACCGTTAGCAATGACATGAAATACGAGATATTTATAGCATATTCACGTATTTTCCTCCTGACACTTTGTATTTCAACAAGCGCAGTTTCACGGTACAGTTTGTGTAGAAGCTCGGCGGTGCGCTGTTTTATATGTCGCCCACGTGCCTATCCTATGTATAGGTAAAAGCATTTCTTCCATCTTAGCAAGGTTTACTTTTACTCAAGATGTCTGTTATTCTTAACTAAGCTATTTGTGTTTCTGTTCTTGTTGTACACATTATAAATGGATTAAACCACGGGAAAACAGAAAATAAATGTGTTCTATATGTTATACTAATATAGAAACCGATCTTATATTACATAATCTCAACGTGATACTTAGAGATAAGTTTCTCTATCTTACATCATCTCTCAGCGTCATAGTTGATTGCGTAGTTTTGAACAAATCTATCATTCTCACACGAAAAACATCAATCTGATTTCTAGCTTCTAACAGAACTTCCAATATACACCCGGTGGACTAAATGTCTTACCAAGTGCTGTTTTTTACCAAAAACATATTTTATCTACAATAAGTATAGTCCCTGTGGATTAAATGTCTTACCAAGTGCTGTTTTTTACCAAAACATATTTTATCTACAATAAGTATAGTCCCGGTGGATTAAATGTCTTACCAAGTGCTGTTTTTTACCAAAAACATATTTTATCTACGATTCAAATGGTCACTATATGAGCCATCAAACCACCACCAACCAAATAGTCACCGTTTAGTAGCTGGTTTGTCACGTGCCACCACTACTGATTGGTAGGCAAGATAAGTGAACCTTTTTATAACTGGTTTGTCACGTGCCACCACTACTGATTGGTAGGCAGGACTAGTGAACCGTTTTGTAGCTGGTTTGTCACATGTCACCATTACTGATTGACTTTGGTTCTCCTTCAAAACAGTTGAAGTGGGAACATTATTTAAAGCTATGTTGTAACATACGGCTGTTGCTCGTAATTTATTAGTGATTGTATACAGGCTGCCCTACTGAACTTGTGTCAGTATTCAAAACGTCAACTGATAATAAAGGTTACTTATTATTTTTCTGAGTTGAAACACAGAGATGAGTTGTTTTCACTACAAAATACCATCGGAGTCATTATTTCAAAAGTTTAAAGTAAATTATCATTATTATTTTAATTGTATTATGTTGAATTCATGAAACACAGCCCTGTAATTCAGTTTGAAGTGACGTTTTCAACTCCAGTGTAACGAGAAATAAAACATGCATTGTTTAACCACATGTGTTTACAGACGATCTTACACTCTCATAACGTCCTCGAGTTATCTGAGTAAACGTAACTTTAAGTTACATATACGGAAATGAGTTACCTACCTTTTCCTCCGATCGGCCATATTTTATGTTGCTTTTATGACTAAAGAAGGCAGTTAGTTAGTCTTGTGTTTTAGTTCTTCACGTTCGGACTCCATGTTTTGGGGGAAGCCAGCTACTAACCGGGGAATACTCACGCGCAGGGAATTTTGTGATTTAGGCATACATAGTCAAAAACTGGATTAAATGTTGCAAGATAAAATAATCAAGTAAGCGGGTTATTTAGAGGGAACGAGAAGATACAGACAAGTTTAGAAAAACGTGACTGATTCTTGCTGTGAGAAAGCTCCGACTGCTAACTTGTTAATGAGTTCATAGCGTAAGGGAAGCTAAACTAGCTCCTGCTTATCGATCGGCACGGCACACTAGCGCGGGGCTTCTCTGCTACAGTGCACGTGGTAGTCCCAGTTGGCTCGCGCTCGTGCACAGTAACTTGTGTCGGGTGCAGGATTTTTGACATGAAAACCGTTTTTGATTTGTTTAGTCCAAGATCAGGGACGCTGACGTCATAACACACTATTCTAGGGTCATAACACACAGTATAGACAGTCGGGAAGTTAAAAACAATTAGTTGTTATTACACACAACGGTTTTAAAGAGCGTGTCACAAACAACGATATTAAAAAACGTCTAACACACACAACGGTTTTATAGAGCGTGCAACACATGCACACAACGGTTTTAAGAGCATGCAACACATACACACAACGGTTTTAAAGAGCGTGCAACACATACACATAACGGTTTTATAGAGTGTGCAATACGCACACAACGGTATTAAAGAGCGTGTAACACACAACGGTAGTAAAGAGAGTGTAACGCACAACGGTTTTATAGAGCTTGCAATACATACACACCGGTATTAAAGAGCGTGTGACACACAACGGTATTAAACAGCATGTAACATATACACACAACGGTTTTAAAGAGCGTGTAACACATACACGCAATGGTATTAAATAGCGTGTAATACACAACGGTTTTATAGAGCGTGTAGCACACATAGCGGTTTTATAGAGCCTGTAACACATACAACGGTTTATGTAGAGCAAGTAACACACACAACGGTTTTATAGAGCCTGTAACACACACAATGGTTTTATAGAGCCTGTAACACACATAACGGTATTAAAGAGCCTGTAACACTCTATATTATTAAATATTATCGGTATTGAAGTGGGTCAGGTTCTATCGAAAATGAAATAGAATTAATGAAATGTATTGTTACGGTATTGAAGTGGGTCAGGTTCTATTTAAAATGAAATAGAATTAATGAACTGTATTATTACGGTATTGAAGTGGGTCAGGTTCTATTTAAAATGAAATAGAATTAATGAAATGTATTGTTACGGTATTAAAGTGGGTCAGGTTCTATTTAAAATGAAATAGAATTAATGAAATGTATTGTTACGGTATTGAAGTGGTTCAGGTTCTATTTAAAATGAAATAGAATTAATGAATTGTATTGTTACGGTATTAAAGTGGGTCAGGTTCTATTAACATTAGTGAGCATAAACGTAAACTTACTGCATATTTGAAACAGGTGAAGTAATAAACAGAAGTTAACTTACTATATATATTTGAAACAGGTAAAGTAATAAACTGAAGTTAACTTACCATATATATTTGAAACAGGTGAAGTAATAAACAGAAGTTAACTTACTATATATATTTGAAACAGGTAACATTGGTGAGCATAAACGTAAACTTACTGCATATTTGAAACAGGTGAAGTAATAAACAGAAGTTAACTTACTATATATATTTGAAACAGGTAAAATTGGTGAGCATAAACGTAAACTTACTACATATTTGAAACAGGTGAAGTAATAAACAGAAGTTAACTTACTATATATATTTGAAAATAGGTAACATTGGTGAGCATAAATGTAAACTTACTACATATTTGAAACAGGTAACATTGGTGAGCATAAACACAAACTTACTCCATATACTTACTACATATTTGAAACAGATAAAGTAATAAACTGAAGTTAACTTACCATATATATTTTAAACAGATGAAGTAATAAACTGAAGTTAACATCTGCTTATTTTCCAATGTTGTTAGTATCATGGATTAATAGACTTCTGTAAACGTTTTGTTATGGAAGAAGTTGAAATTTTGTATCATCCGCGGCTTAACGTAAAAAGTTAGTGGGTTGTCTTGATAATTAAATGTTATGCCCCTGTAAATCGTGTTTTTTTACAACCCTAAATCGCACGTGGGAGAAGATGATCTATTTGCTATCAGTGATATAGGAAGCAATTGTGATAAAAGTCATAAAGTGTGATTTTTATGATGATTTTATATAATGTTAAAAATCTACAATAATTACCAAACCTAAACCTAAATCGTTTCAAATTTAATAACATTCCCAATACATCAAAGTTTCACTCATTGACCATAACCACCTCGGATATGATTTTTGATTTTTTGAATCGATGTCTTATATCCAGTTTAAACCAATTTAAATATAGCGGTTTCAAAATAACTTTTAACGTATTAAACTAGGGTAGGAGACAGTGGTTTCTATGTAGTGTACTGGTGGATGTTTGTTTCTTTACTTATTATACTAGGGTAGGAGACAGTGGTTTCTATGTAGTGTACTGGTGGATGTTTGTTTCTTTACTTATTATACTAGGGTAGGAGACAGTGGTTTCCATGTAGTGTACTGGTGGATGTTTGTTTCTTTACTTATTATACTA